TATTTGTTGTTGTTTAGGATACACAATTTATCTCAGTTTTTTTGAAGCAGATCATTAAAGGGGAGCAGAAGTGTGGCTTTTGACACTCTGTACATGAAATTTGAGATCTATGAATAAATTCTGTCAATAAAAACAACTTGTATGTGCTCTAAGGGCCAGTCAGATGATGTCATCAGTGAACACTGATAAATTCAACCCATTCATGCTAGTACGTCAATCCCATTGAAATGCTACTATGAAAGAACTTGTTAACTGACTACTAGTACTTAAAAGTTGTTAATTTACTCATACTTGGAGAAATGAGCTTATTAGAAGCTGGTCTCTATAAAGCACATGGGAATACTTCCTAGAATAACTTAACATTGGAACAGTTCCTAGAATCACATCACACGGGAACACTTCCTAGAATCACTTCACACCATAACACTTCCTAGAATCACTTCACATGGGAGCACTTCCTAGAATCACTTCACATGGAAACACTTCCTAGAATCACATCACATGGGAACACTTACTAGAATCACTTCACATGGGAACACTTCCTAGAATCACTCACATAAGAGCACTTCCTAGAATCACTTCACATGGGAACACTTCCTAGAATCACATCACATGGGAACACTTCCTAGAATCACATCACATGGGAACATTTACTCGAATCACTTCACATGGGAACACTTCATAGAATCACTTCACATGGGAACACTTCCTAGAATCACATCACATGGGAGCACTTCATAGAATCACTTCACATGGGAGCACTTCCTAGAATCACATCACATTGGAACACTTCCTAAAATCACTTCACATGGGAACACTTCCTAGAATCACATCACATGGCAACACTTCCTAGAATCACATCACATGGGAGCGCTTCCTAAAATCACTTCACATGGGAACACTTCCTAGAATCACTTCACATAAGAAAACTTCATAGAATCACATCACATGGGAGCACTTCCTAGAATCACATCACATGGGAGCACTTCCTAGAATCACATCACATGAGAAAACTTCCTAGAATCACTTCACATAAGAAAACTTCATAGAATCACATCACATGGGAGCACTTCATAGAATCACATCACATGGGAGCACTTCCTAGAATCACATCACATGAGAAAACTTCCTAGAATCACTTCACATAAGAAAACTTCATAGAATCACATCACATGGGAGCACTTCATAGAATCACTTCACATGGGAACACTTCCTAGAATCACATCACATTGGAACACTTCCTAGAATCTCTTTACATGGGAACACTTCCTAGAATCACATCACATTGGAACACTTCCTAGAATCTCTTTACATGGGAACACTTCCTAGAATCACATCACATGGGAACACTTTCAAGAATCACTTCACATGTGAACACTTCATGGAATCACATCACATGAGAAAACTTCCTAGAATCACTTCACATGAGAAAACTTCATAGAATCACATCACATGGGAACACTTTCTAGAATCACTTCACATGGGAACACTTCCTAGAATCACATCACATGGGAACACTTCCTAGAATCACATCACATGGGAACACTTCCTAGAATCACTTCACATAGGTACACTTCCTAGAATCACTTCATATGGGAACACTTCCTAGAATCACATCACATGGGAACACTTCCTAGAATCACATCACATGGGAACACTTCCTAGAATCACTTCACATAGGTACACTTCCTAGAATCACTTCATATGGGAACACTTCCTAGAATCACTTCACATGAGAAAACTTCATAGAATCACATCACATGGGAACACTTTCTAGAATCACTTCACATAGGAACACTTCCTAGAATCACTTCATATGGGAACACTTCCTAGAATCACTTCACACGGGAACACTTTCAAGAATCACTTCACACGGGAACACTTTCAAGAATCACTTCACATGGGAACACTTCCTAGAATCACATCACATGGGAGCACTTCATAGAATCACATTGGAACACTTCATAGAATTACATCACATGGGAGCATTTTCTAGAATCACTTCACATGGGAACACTTCCTAGAATAACTTCACATGGGAACACTTCCTAGAATAACTTCACATGGGAACACTTCCTAGAATAACTTCACATGGGAACACTTCCTAGAATCACATCACACAGTACACTTCCTAGAATCACTTCACATGGGAACACTTTAAAGAATCACTTCACACGGGAACACTTTCAAGAATCACTTCACATGGGAACACTTCCTAGAATCACTTCACACGGGAACACTTCCTAGAATCACATCACATGGGAACACTTCCTAAAATCACTTCACATAGGAACACTTCCTAGAATCACATCACATGGGAGCACTCCCTAGAATCACTTCACATGGGAACACTTCCTAGAATCACATCACATGGGAGCACTCCCTAGAATCACTTCACATGGGAACATTTCCTAGAATCACATCACACAAGAACACTTCCTAGAATCACATCACATGGGAACACTTCCTAGAATCACTTCACATGGGAGCGCTTCTTAAATCTCTAATCAATTTATTTGTAACTATACATATAGATGACACCCCCTCTTACGTTAACATGCAATATAATGTTGTTTGTTTTTGTTGATTAGATTGTTGAGAGACTTGCCAAAGTGCATGACGATGACATTACCAAGTTAGACATCTGGACTGGTGGTCTAATGGAAACTGACATCAATGGACCTGGTGAATTGTTTCACACAATAATCTTAGATCAATTTATTCGAATTAGAGATGGAGACAGATTTTGGTATGAAAATCGTAAAAACAAGTAAGTATGTTCAGATTCACATTTGTTATTTAGGTTGTATTGTCAGTAAAACTTAGTTGAAAGCCTATCAAGTCTGAGTATCTTGGCAAAAAGTCAAAGTTGTGGCATTTGTGAGTTGTATTAATTGAAACATGACATGCCATTTATTAACATGTATAGAAGTCTTCCCATTGATGTGTTTGTTTATTTAGTCTCTTCACAGAGCAAGAGATAGCTGAGATAAATAGTATTACTCTATATGACATCATTGTTAAAACAAGTAGTTCAATTTCTGAAGATGATATACAGAAAGATGTATTTCATCACTATGCTGGTAAGTTTAATATCATTGACAGTCGCTTTGTTAACACAAGTGAAGGTGACTCATAACTGGAAGTGTTTTTTCAGCCCCCTCCAAACACTGATGTGCCAGAACAGGGCTTATACAATTGTAACTTGGTTTGGTGCATTCGTTTGTCCTCTGCTATTTTGGGCATTAACCAATTCATTCAAACTTGATACACATGTGATGTCACAGATATTACACAGGTACTTTTTTTTTAATTTTTTTATTCATGTACATGAAAGTGGTATTCCGGGGCCTTTATGGCCCTTTTTGCCATTTTTTGTCAAAAGAATGTGCGTTTTGATCGATTTTCATGAAATTTGCTACAAGGGTGAATCACCGAAACATACAGATGCAAGTTCAATTTTTTTTTAAGCATTTGTCTTTTCTTTTTTTTTTGGATTACACCAAAATATTCAATATAATTTAGTCTAGAATTGGGTGCCTATATTAATATTTCTGTAGGATATCAATACAATGTAGAGTTTTTACTACTGCTTCACTAACATTAAAACTTTTTAAAAAAATGACCAAATTATTCAAAAATTGTTGTGTG